TTGATCTTTCAAATCAGTTCACTCTCGTCACTCCCCAAACTTGTTACATCTTAGGATGTGGCCACAATAGTTATTCTGTATGGGACTATTGATACATACCTGTATTGAAGGCTTGTGTTTTTTTTCCTACTTTGTCCCAAGACACCTTTCTCAGCTAAAGAAGACTCTGCACAATAAAATTAGGCTCGATCAGAAATAAGCAGAAGTTGTGGTAATGATTGAATTGAATATCTCAAAGTTGTTCTGCACATTGACAGTTGGACGTCTGATACTTGGAAGAGTGCAGAGCCTCACCCATGCTTCAGTCAAGTTGAGTTTGGCCTTGAATGTATTTTCTAAAAGTGGCGTCTTCACATTAAAGGGCTGTGTTAGTGTTTGTGTTCCTGGTAAGTGTTTTTTAATAACTGCTTTCAATAGAGAAAGGGAAAGAAAGATGCCTTTCTTTGTGAAGTCCAGGCGACAAGCTGTTCTTAGAGGTACTTGCTCTGTAATGTTAAGGCACACAACAGTGTTACATGTGAAAATAATTGTTCTTTTATGAAGACTTCTGACAATGAAAAAGTTGTCTTTGCTCTGGAATTGCCTGGTTCTCTTTAAATTTAGTTTTATGATTTATGTTTGAAATTCCATTTAGCCCACTCATTACCAAATAATTACTTCAAGAAAAACAGCATTTTCCACTATATTAGATCTATTGCTATAAACAGAAGCCGTTTCGGACCACACTGAGAATGTTACGGTGTATGTTATCTCTTCCCATTGTCTTTAAAGAGAAGTCAGAAAGTGAAGACGGGACAGCTTTCTGTCTTGATTTATCACGAGCCTCCTTTTCCGAAACACCAGCAGAAAAAAAGAGACATCAATGTGCTTTAAAATTGAATTATCCAACTGCCAACTTCTAAGGTAGTACCTAAGGTGGTCATTATGGACCCATTAAGTGGCAAGCGTGTCAGGCTTTCAGTGAAAAATGCGGAGTTTTCATCAGCGCGGAGTGAACCGACTGGCTGCATACAGGCAGAACATCAAAGCTAATGGGAATACCTGTTAAGTGAATGTGCTTTGTTCCTCTGTGTGACGGTCTTTTTTAAAAAAGAAATAACAATGCGTTCTGTTTTAATTTACATCCGTGTTATGTGAGCCTTTTAAATAAACATTTTTTTTTCCTCGCTGTTTTTGTAAGGGGGATTTTCTTCCAGTTTTAAAATTGAATTCCTTTCTTGGTGGCGTTGTTTTTCTAATCCAAAAGCCCCTCACTTTTGTAAACTGCTTTGATCTGCCATAGCTCATCCTTCGTGGGCTAAGTGTGTTTGGAAGAAGGGTGTCTGTAGTTAGAACTGCCCACCTTCTTGTGCCTGTTTGAGATCCGGTGCAGACGAACACTCCTGGCAGAACTGATTGCAGAGGGCCCTGATGAAGTTCGCCTCAAGCTCACTGTGAGCGCGCGCCCGATAAGGTGTGCTTTAATTAATCGCTCGTCTATAGGCTGGCCGTGTTAAGGCCAAGGCTCCGGTAACCTTGCGCCTGGCAGATGTCCTTATCGCCGGCCAGGCACCGCGTGGGAGGTCTTGATCTGCTCTTGTCCTACCTGCTGCTTGAAGAAGACACTCTGCTGAGGTTCGCAAACGGGTCTGACCTCTGACCTCCTGCTCCTTGCCGAGACCCCCCTAGAGTAGCACGGGCTGCTTATTTCCCAGGAGGGAGGCCGGCGGTATGGAGGGATTGCGCTGTCCCACGCTTTTGTCATCCTTAGACATTTCAGTGGGCCCCCTTCCCATCTCTGATGTTTCCAGACTTGACAGACTCGTGTGTTTCCCTTAATCCTCCCCTTAGCTCTTCAGCTGTGGTCCTCGTGTGGCCGAGGATGCTGGGATGTTGCGTGGTAGGAGCTACATGAGTGCCTGTAGGTATTTTATGTTAATATTGGTACATACAGCGTGTATCATTTTACAAAGAGGTCTGCAAAGTGGAATCCTTTCTAAGGCTCAGTAGGGTTCATCAATATTCATTAAACTCCCAAAAGATAGCAAATGCGTTGAATTTCTGAGAGGCTGGCGTGGGGAGCCTTCTTCAGGTGTGGCGCCTGACACCTGGGAAAACGTGCAAAGGCTGAAAAGTTGAAACACTGCATTGTTTCTCAGTTCCATAATTTATACTGCCATGAATTAAAAGATCCAATAAACTAAATGAGCTGGGGAGAGTTTCAAGAGAGGGTGACTGTGAGAGTGTGTGCTTTTGCACTACGTTTACATGAGTATCCTTCCACCCAGTGCAAATTTGCATAACTGCAAAAATCCCGGCACTTTGCTGATGAAACCAGCAGTGTAATCCTCACTAAGTTAATTAATTTATATTAAAGGTCAGCTTGGGTGATTTCCTTAAATACAGCGTTGCTGTGCCAGTTTCATAGTTCACAAGTAAACTGTCATGTTACTCACAAAAATGGTTTTTCAGGATTGTTACCTGGAGGCCTTTAATTATCAACAAAATAATAAGGCAATATTAATTACGTGACAGACTGGCTTACTAATTATGTCGATATGCTACATGGAACCCATGAAGCATGAGTGACTTTTTAAAGATGTATTTATTTTTATTTTCGCATGCCAGCATTTCTCTCTTCCACATTATGGGAGGTCTTTGGCTCAACGTGAAGTCATGGAGTGACTCTGTGTTTTGCCTAATGTTTCAGCCAAAGGTGTGTTTTGTTACTAGATTCAAATGGAGGAAGTATTTTTTTTTGTATTATTTGGGGTTAGCAGCAGGCATACCAAGAACATTTTTTCTCAGTGTAAAGACACCTGCATGTGAAAGTCAGAGTTTAATTCTTTAATAATATTTGGGTTTCAGATTTTTTTTGTTTTATTGATGACATTGGTAGAAATGGCAGTAATTGATTACTGTTATAATAAATATGCTAACACTTATTTTTCTGTTATTTTATTACTTCTTTAATTATCTTTTTCTTCCACTATTTTTTTGTTTACTATGAATTAATATTATACAGAGTTAAACAGTCATAGTGAAACCAGGGTGATATACAGTATGTGTATATCACATACTCCACATACTATGTGTATATCACAGACTCCCTCATCGCCGGTCCCTCATTTCCTGGTCTTTGGGACTTCTCCGAGTGAAAACGTGTCGTGGTGCGCCAGTGATGGCGTGGTCCGTGTGTGTTCCTAGGATATCGTATACTGTGTGTGATGCCCATATTCCATATGTTAGGGATGAGCAGTATGAAAGGCTGGTCGCTCTGGAGCCATCCACTGAGGCCCATTTCATCTGAACCTTCGGCACGTTTAGATGTGGATCTTCAGAACTACCAGGACTGTCTTAAAATGCCTCTGTTAGCATGTCCCCAGGAAGTCCCTGTATGGGACTGAATCCCAATTTTCTGGCTGATTACTTGCGTGAAAGAACTTGTGCACAAAGTATAACAAAGAGTTTTTCCCGTGTTGTTGAGTGACAGGTTGACACACTAAAAGCAGCACACACACCACCCCCCTCGCACCCCTATCTGATGATATTTCTCCCACCTGAGGCTCTGAGCAAATAATGTAGCACAAATGAAATTTCCTGCAGGGTTTATTGATATCATTAAACACAGGCATATTGTGTTTCAGAATCATTTAGTCTTCATCAGCGATGCTGACATTTAGTAAATTAGGTGGAGTTAAATGGAACATATATATATATCTTTGAAGCATTCTTTGTGTTTCCTGAACTAGTTAAATTATAACTAAAAAAATGTTATTTCATTTAATCTTTTTGACTCCCCCGATTGCAGGCATGAGCAAATGTCACATACTGCGTTATTTATTCTTACAGGATTTGTCTCTCCTGCAGACCACACACACAATTTTTTGGTTGCGTTTTTAAAGCCTTTGCTTCCTGGAGCCGAATCGGGCAGCTTCATTTCAGTTGTGATTTCAAGAGTGTTACCTGATTTGGAATAAATCTGGCTTGGCAGCCGTGTGAAGTTCAAACAATTTTAAATAATTTTGTGTGGGGCTGCGGTCTCAGAAACCTGGGCTGGATCAGGCTGCTGTGCAGTGGGGTTCTCGTCTGTGCAGTGTGTAATATAGGGCAGGAGAGGGGTGTGTCACTCCCTGCAGGTGCTGTGGATGTATCAATGTTTTTAAAGCTTTCAAAAGGGCACAAATGTACATTTTAAGCCTCTTACTGTTTCTTCCCGTATTATCGCCGGGATAGTTTTTATGATTCAGCACAATGCCGACTAACAGAGGATTCACTGACACTTCATTAAACTGTGCTTTCATTAGAGTGCTCCGTGTGAGTACTGTTCCCACACCATTGTGCAACTTTATAACTAATGGAAATAATTTAATGCTCCAATAGCAAGGGGGCTGTAGTACACAGAGTCCCGTAGACATTTCAGAGCCCTCAAACCTCATGGGGCATTCCCAGATTGCTTTAAAATAATTGGAGTCCAGTGACCGAAGCATGTATCAGAGTAAACTACTCTGAACGCTACAGCTTAGAGGTTATTTGTAAGTGATATGAAAACATTGGTGTCATAAAAGAATCAGCTCTTTTATCTCAGCTGTTGGCTTCCTTGTCTTCATGCTGCCTTTACTCCAAAGGCAGTCAATAAAGCAGTAAGTTTTCTGCTGGCAAAAAAAAGAAAGTTGTCGATGCCATTGAACCATAAAACTTCTGCCCTGAGGGTAAAATTACACTGTATACATGTTCCTCGCATACAGCTTTGGGGATAAACATATCTTCCATCAGCTCATGGCTTGTAGCAAAGATTTGCTCCTTTTGTTGACAATTCCCTTGCAGTTTGCTGCTGCACTTGCAACAGGAGAATTCAGGAAGCCCCCATTATTTCTCAGATACAAGATGCCTTGAGACTGTATTTCTGTCTGTAGATTGCATGTATCATTACCATGGCAATTTCCAGTTTTCTTTCAGTGCCCTTTTACTTTTAAAAAAATCTCTAACTAGGATGTCCCCCCCCCCCCCGTGTCTTGCAGATCGTCACCCAGTACGTCTATGAGCTGCTGGAGAAAGAGTGCAACATGACTAAGGAAATCCTTCCTGTGAGTACTGTTTAAAAAAGGCACGTTTCGTTTCGGATTACTCCATTGAATCATGAGGGAATAGACGTCCATGTATGAGCTGTGGGATGGGAGGCCGGGACAGACTGCAACCTCCATAAATAAGGATTCAAGTTTTCCCTTTTCTGAAATTAAACACTCATTCATGTCCCCGCATTCGTTTGCTTGTGCTAGCTTTCGTGGGGCGCACACTAGCCCGGGCCCGGCTAGCCGTTCCTCTTTTCATACACACGCTAACACAGCCGTGTTTTCCTCCTCCTCCTCAGTTAGTTACAGAATTACCGGCTCTGAAGTGGCCTGGCTCACCGTTCTGCTCTGTCACTGTGTGAGTGAAGAGGGCTGTACATTTGCGTTGAAAACAAAATCCTTGCAGGTAATGATGGGATGTTGCTGCAGGGATACCCAGGCATACGGCAACCAGGGGAATCTGGTCAGCAGTAACACTGAACACATTTAATCCGGGCATGCCTGAACTGTACAGCTCCACTGCTCGGATGCTTCTGAATCCACTTTATTTTAATAACTTCATATGAACTCTCAAGACAGACCATTGATGATGTAGTTATCTTCTTTGAGGGAGAGATAGCTAGCAAGAAGCAATTGATTATGTTATCAAGCTTGAGGAAATTCCAAATTCATAAAATGTCTTTTCTGACTTCGTAATTAGTTTGTGCATAGGGAGCTTTGCTTTGTAGTAAGGGTTTCTTTCCTTCAGCAGTAAGCTAACAGGCATCACTCTGGTCACAGACAGAAGAGGCTTTATGCTAAGGAGGTGCACAGGATTAAGATGAAGATATCTCTTACCTGTGTCAGATACTTGTCAGAAAAGTGAACTATCAAAAAAACACCCTCGATAAACGTTTCCCTGAGGTTTGTGTACAATGTAAACAATATTAAAAACATTGACAACGGCCATGGTGAAGCTGCCGGAGTGCAGTATGGCCTATATGGCAGGGATGTTTGACCTGTAAAGCCCCAATCCAACAGGTTTTTTAGATCACCGTTTTCTTAAGATACAGTATGGAACAAATCCATTCTGATCAATTAAACAGGTAACTTGTATTATTAATTTATTAAGATATAATTTAGGAGTAGGGCTCTTCAGGGCAAGGGGTGACCTATAAGACCAATGGGACCTCTGCTATAGGCCACATGAAGACACCCCTTGTTTTGTTGTTTTCAAATAAGACAAATTTCACCTATACATTTTCATGCACATCAGCTGTGTGAATTTGAACTAAGCCCAGACTGTCCTTTGAGACATAGACTTGGTCAATCTGTGTCCAATCTGTGTCAAGGCGGGTAATTCGAGTTTTCTAAAGACACTGTACATAACATTCTGTATTTTCTCGCGAGGCCGCAGGCGGGCCTGTGGACTCTGAGGTGCCTTTCTCCTTGCCCTGCGGCTGTTTCAGGTGGACGCCACCGCGGAGGAGCCGAAGAGCTTCATCTTCCTGAGCCGGGACGCGCTGAGCAACCCGGACCGGCTGCTGGTGCTGATCCAGGGCAGCGGGGTGGTGAGGGCGGGTCAGTGGTCCCGCAGGCTCATCATCAACGAGGACCTGGACAGCGGCACCCAGATCCCGTTCATCAGGAGAGCTGTGGAGGTGAGGCGGCTGTCAGTGTCGAGGCAAGCGCAGGTTATTAGTGTGCCTTCTGCCTCAGTGAGCGTTCTGCCTTCAGCGGCTCACGGATATGCAAACAGACTCTCCCCGCTCTGCCCGATAGGTACATGTGTGCAGTCACACTCTGGAGAGGAAAGAAAGCTCCCCGCAGGAAACTTTCAGCACTAGTTTGCGACAGGAAAGCTTGTTAAGCCAAGCTGTGTCAAAAAGAAAACAGTCGCGGAAAACAAAGAGTGTACTTCCCAAGTCAGAATTCTTGCAGAGCCTGGGCAGTATGCTCCAGTTAAATAGGTGATTTTGTGAAGGTTTATGTGCTGAACAGCTACTTATTTTTCTTGAGGCCTTGCTGCTCTTGACTTCTTTATTAATGATTTATTCATATTGTGATCAAGACGATGTGTGTGACGTGCAGAGTTACAAAAAAATCCATAGCCACAAGGATTAGGACTGTGTTCTTTCACTTTACTAGTGGCAAAATCTTTTTAAGTGCTGAGCACGTTTATGTCAGCATTCAGTCCTCTTCATTATCTGTCGGTTCGTATTCAGATTGTGTCTTTCATTTGTGTAATAGGAAGCTGTGCCTAACATTTTGTATAAGACATAAATCAGGTCACACCTACAGGGCTTTTATGAGGTTGTGCTTTTTAAGAGGTTAAAAGATGAGCTACTTAAAACAAGTCAAGTGAGGTGAGCAGAATGGCCTCTTCTTGTTTCATTTCCTAATGTTCTTAAATTTCAGTGCATTGTAAGGTTCCCTCTTGTGCTGTATTGGATTTTAACAACTGTATGATCTATACATTGAATGTACTGTATTTCTAATATACATATACAGCATACAGATCTGTATGTTGAATTTATATCTTAATCAATTTGAACCTAGCTAGTAATGCTATTCGAGTCGTGTAAAAGGTTCATCGGTCATTGATCCCGGAGCCATGGGATTCCCAACGTGAATCCGAGACGGAGACCGAATTGTGGGTGTTGCACATTGATTCCAGGGTCATTTCAGCATGAACGCTGAATATCGTTTTGGGTCTTGTAGCTAATGCTTCTCCATTAAGGTATCTTAAGCCGCATGGTGGAGTCAAGGTGGGGTTTTGGGAGAGAATTCAAAGCAGGGCAGCGGTGTAGGAGTCTGCATGTTCTCCTCCTCTCGTCACCATTTCATTTGAATCTGGTAGCTCGAGTAGCAGAATCAAAACCTGAAGACATTCAGGTTAGGTTCCTAGATGTCTCGGACCTGTCTTTGTGTGTGTGTGTGCGCGCTCTGCAGGAGACTGGTGTCCTTGCACTCATTGTCTCACCATGACTGTATATTGCACTCAGCAGTGATTGAAAACGCAGCGATGAAAGCAGATTCTGCACCTGCCTGCATTTGCTTGTGAGCTCAATATCCTCGTCCATCCTTTTCTCTTTAGAAGTCTTCAAGACTGATTTCCCTGTGTTTGTAAATGTGATCCCCACTCACTGATGTGGTTGCTGCTCTGGTGTGAGATGGCATCAGTGCCTGTGAAGATGTGCTGTGGGTTTCAGGGAGGCCCGTTTCTGAAGCCGCGCTCTGTTCTCCCACTCAGAAGAGTTCGCAGCACACTCCTGTATTCTGGTAAACAACATTTATATAACCTACCAGTTGTTCTGACAAGTAACTGTAAGGCTGTGCAATCCCTCGTGATTGGACTGGTTGACTGTTGTGAGAGGCTGTGATCTTTTTAAATAAAATCTGTAGATTTAGCTCCAGGCCTGGCCTCGGGTTTGCAAGATAATCTCGCTGTATTTGTGATTATTATTGCTCCTAAATAACAGCATGCATTCTAGCTCTTAAAACATTTGGAAATGATCCCAGAATTACCCCCCGCAGGAATTAGTTACTGGGTTGGGATAAGCCTGTGATGGTATGAGTTTTTCTGAAGGGAACATCATCTGGAAGTCGCTGTTGTATATATTCTCAGAGGAGACTTTGAAAGTTTTTTTTTTGTTGTTGTTGTGGTTCCGTTCTGTATTTGTGTGTGTCTGTCTTCTTGGGCACTGGATCAGGAATGCCTATAACGCAGTCCAGAAGACGGCTTTGAAGTGTTGGGTTTTGCTCCCAGTGACCAATGATGTAATTGGTCAGTTCTGCCATCTCTCCAGGTCTTTACAAGGGGATGCATTGCAAGGACCTGTGAGTCCTGCAGGAACTGGCTCAGGTTGGAAAAAACATTGATCAATATCAATAATGAATTTTGTCTCTCTTATCTTGGCTAAGGACCTCAGAGAGTTCCGTTGCTTTGTGCAACACCTTAACTCTCACGAACTGCTTGCTGTGAATGGAAAACTAAGGGCAGTTTGGAGAGAGGAGGTGTTCTGCTATGAGCCACAGGTCATCCAGGACTGGACTCCTCTCTCTCCCTGACTGGGTTTCTAGTCCACAAAGCTGAGGGTGTCCAGAGGAAATCTCGCTGGCTGTGCTCTCAGCTTCATGGGCTTCCTTTTTTCCAAGTGCGTTTGCAGAAACGACCTCTGAGTTATATTTAGAATGTTAGCAGGCATTTCCATGAAAAATAGTGACTACTGGTTCAGGTTAATTTTGTGTGTCTATTCTAAAAACTGAGCTGGTGCATAATGAATCCAGCAGCCTTGTGTCCCCTGAGCTTCTGATTTAATGGATTACAATTCAAATATGTTTGGATTTTGTCTTTACTGAGTGAAATGAACCACTGAGGAACACATTTTAACAAGTCAGCTGTCATACTCTGCTCTTCGAGCTCCTGTCAGCTGAGAGGAGCCCGTGCCAGTTTTCTGTTTTCTGAAGTATTTATTTCCTGACATTTGCAGAGTGCAAGTAAACTCGGCACAGAAGCTGTGTACTTACAGTAAGTACGTTGATCTGTGATTTTATGTGAGCATCAGTGTAATTGCATTTGAAAAGTGGCAAATCCTCCCCTCCACCCATAATCTCTTTTTTGGAAACAGTAATGGGACTTATGAATTCTCCCATGGTTTGTTGGGTAACAACTGTAAATACTTGTACAGTTTTCTGGAAACTTGGTGCAGTAACAGTGGTTTAGTGCTTTCTAAATTCACAGTGACCTTGGCAAGCAGAGAACTGTCGCATTTGCAGACTTTCGACCAACAGTTGTGGGTACTGTTTTGGGCATGATAAAAACAGGTCAGACCTGCAGCAATTAATATGCTTAAGTTCACACTTAGAAAAAGGCAGTAGAACACCCACTTAACAAAAATAAACAACTAACCTGAGGGATGTCGCCATTGAATGATACCATCTTGACTTACAATGCCGTAAAGCTGGGAGTGGATCACAGTGAGCAAAGACAGCTGGATTGCTTTTGACTAGTTACTTCCAGTCAAAAATAAGTACTTGAAAATAAACAAAAGTAATTGATGCTTTTATTTTTTCTCTGCTCATCATACTTGCCTGTGTGGAGAGTGTTTGGTGATGTTTCCTGGGTCAGTGGGTAGACTCTAGCCTGAAGTGTCAAGGATTCGAATCCAGGCTGGGGTGTTGCGGTTGTACCCATCGCAGTGGTGCTTTACTCCAGTAAAACGTCCTGCTCTGGATTTTCGACGATCCTGGTAAAATAAAGTGGGGAAAAAACGGACTTTTGCGGAATAAGGAATTTCGTCACCTGCCACTCTGATGGGCTTTTCACAGACACAGTGTGCCTGGGTCTACAGGAACATAATGGAACAGGCAGACTATTTTCTTACAGCACAGAAGTGGAAAGAAATGAAATAATGTGCCTTCGTGACTGGAACTGTGCATCCAGGTCCTTTTGTCCTGCGTGCACCTCGCTGACCATGATATAAGGCTGTTGAAACGTTCATCAGTTCAAGCAAACAATAATGAGCATATTTCTCCTTTTAAATGGATTTATTATAGAAACACATATTGCATAGTTACACTAAAGGAAAATTAAAATCATTTCACCTCTTATTTTTTGGTGGATTTCACTATTTTCCATGTGCACCTCCGCAGTCTGATGGTGAACTGTCGGTACGGGGTCCTACCGTGTTTGTACCGCTGTGAGTGTGTCCTTGTCGTCTCAGTTTCCTCAGTGCTGAAGCTCCTCAGCTAACAGGGCGGCCAGGCAGCCTCAGAGCAGCCCTGCGCCCTCCTGTCTGAAGGAGAATGGGTGGTGACGTGTGGGCTCTCTCCTCGAGGGCTTGAGCACTAACTGCGTTCTGTCCCGGTGACATGCATGCTAAACCCACGGAGTACTGTATGTACATTTTAGGCAGTGAGCCATGCTCCTGAAGCTGTGTTGCATTTCTCACGTTTGAAAATAATGGGTTGTGCCGTTTTAAAATGAGCAGTGGTCACATGCTCTAGGGTTAGTGCAGAAGCTGGCAAATGTGCATATTGGGAGGCTTTTCCTTTAGGAAGCCTGGCCTGGCCTGCCGCTGGCAGTGCTCATGTTAACACGGAAGGGCGGCTTTTAAAAACTGACAAACCTGCGTTACAAGACCTTGATTTAACAAAGGACTCAAATGACGATTGCAGCTCGAGATCTGGAGGTTTTTTTCCCCTTTGTATTTCACATTGTCAGCGCTGTTACTGTAGCTTTACAGGTATTCTAATGAGACCAGGGTTTGTAAGCCTTTTCGACTTTTGCTACATTGAAATGATTATGAACGGAGTAATGATATTGAAATGAATATCATTCCTTTGCAAGAGGAAAAATGTAGAAGGTTGTTATAATATGAAATCTGAATAATTCTTTAGGGTGAACACTGCATCGGTGAAAGAAACACACAGTGACTGGAAGAACATCCAGCATCTGAGGTGTCCACTCATCCTCTACTAGATTTTATAGGAAACCAACTTATAAAAACTTTTAATAGGTTAGTTGTGGTTTTAAGCATTGAAGCAGGTGATTTGCTAAATGAATCAATTTATTTATCATATTAGGAGCAGAACATGCTTCTTTATACCAAAGAGTCTGCTGAACAGTTGTTGGCAAATTCATTTTGTAGGAACTTCC